TATATAAATATATAAACATTTAAAGAAGATGGACTCACAAATATTTTCACCCAGTACAAAGAGATGTATTGAAAGGCAAATAAAAAGATGTGGCAAACGATATATATATATATATATATATATATATATATATAAACATTTAAAGAAGATGGACTCACAAATATTTTCACCCAGTACAAAGAGATGTATTGAAAGGCAAATAAAAAGATTGAGCCCAGTGGCAAACGTAATTTGCAATAGCAAATTCTACATCTCATCGGATCAAAGCATCAAAAAGTATGAGTAAATACTTTTGATTAAATTTATAAAAGTAGAAGTAAATTATTAATGGATTGAAAAATTCCCTGGTATATATTAAATACATAGTAATAAAACAATTACGTCTTTAAATTTAAATAGCTTGGTACTTAGAAAATAAAGTAATTTTTTTACAATTTATATATTACTCCTTAAATTTTTTACCTAAGAAATAGTATTATAGAATCCAAAAATCCCCCAAAAAATTGTATCAAAAAAAAATTTTTTCAGATCAAAGTTGTAGAATTTTTTAAACAATCTTGATATGTTCCTAGAGAATAATAAATATATTTCACCATAATATATATTTCATAGCTGGGGCATTTCTCTATTCTATATAGTTAAGTAATAACACTTATGCGATAATACGATAATAGAAAACAAAGCCATGTTACATTCCCTTTTTGACGACCGAAGTTTTCCATTTTCCGGAACGTGCGCGTCAACGATCGATCATTCGCGCGCGAGAGATATATGATCTCTGTTTCACCTGGCGTTATCCGTGCACAGCTGATCGATCATTAAGCTCGCCTCTCGTTCGTTCCGTTGCATTCGTACACGTGTGCATGCATTGCACCGCTCCTGGTACTACGCCACACGGTGTTAGCCGTCCGATTTCATATTTGCGTCGGCGTCAGATCGATGTATGGGTGCTGCGCACATACACATACACACAAATATCTTGGTAGCACATCTTCCTAGAAGTGTGCATCTATTTAAAACGCGAACTTGAACTTACACTCATTTAAACGCGGACTTGTGAAGGATGGTCAGGAAATTGGCAATTAAGGATACGATAAATTCGGGTGCGATAAAGTCAATCGGCGAGAACGGTGGGGAAATCAATTTTAACGATTCTTCGGCTTCCTTGTTATCCCTGTAAATTCAATCGATCGAATCGCTTAATTGAATTTTTTAATCGAGCGAGAAATCGAAGGATGATAATCGAACCGAAAGCTCTTAGCTTCTAGTGCGATATTCTTTGTCACAAAAGTTTTATTTAAAAAAATATTATTATGACTATATAATTTGTGATAAATTCTTAAGTCTTAAACTAAATATATTGCATAAACATTACATAATCACAGAGATTACATAATTATAGAGATATTGCAAATTTATCTTATCGTACGCCGATTTTGCGTTTAAAACTGCAGCTTATTAACTGCATTCGTACGCTTTTAAAGAATTAATATTAAATTTATATTTTATACTGCTGATAATATTGCTTTGAATTTTTAAAGCAAATTTCACACAAATACAAATTATATTTTTTTCTGATTCAATATTTGATATATCTCCTAACAAAAATAATATTTATCAAGGATTTTTTAAATCTTTTACAAACATATGTTTATATAAAATAATATAAATGATTATTCATATAATAGGAAGTTTGGTGTGTGTATGTGTGTGTGTGTGTGTGTGTGTGTGTGTGGAAGAGTTATAAATATATGTATTATACATGCGTCTATCGTATGTGGAGCGAAAGAATCATGCAAGGAAATGCACATACGACTCGGGTCAGTTACAAGCAATGGTAAAAGTAACTGTTGTTCCTAATTGAATGAACTACAGTTTTTCTTTGTAGGTGATAAAAACTGCAACAAAAAATCACATTATTTTAATGAATTTCACTAATGGACGAACTGAAATTGAAATACTGGTATGAAGTGCTAATGAGCGCTAAATTCTATTTCTTTATAATATTTATTGCTTTTCATATAGTAGATTAATGCAATTTACATTTTAATTAATTCATTATAAAAATGATAATAAAATAATAATCTTTTGCATAGTAAGACATATTGCAATGTGTGAGTGTGTGTGCCATTTATCAAATTATTCCAAGACGGTTAAATATTTGATTATCTCACGTTTATATAATGTTCAGAAGGAATTCATAGAATTTAATCAAGCAATCGTATTCTCCTTCCATCTTATCTCAGAAAAATATAAACGCTCTATTCTCTTTTTACGTCGCAATTTGATTAAAGCCGCTTCTGACTGCAACTTCATTTCCGATTGTCTATAAAGCCAGTACGAGAACAGCACGAAACGCATGCAAAGATGCGCAGCTCTGATAAATCTATAAGATAAGACGAATCCGTACATCCATGCCGAACATAATAGTAGCTCAGGTATAGAATAGGTGCTACGCAAGTATAAAAGCGCGATTCGGGTACGTTGAGGCTGTCAGTACACGTGTAACAATTAGACGAACAATTTCCTTTAACCGCGATAGGGTATTCATCACAATCTATCAAAAAATATTTTTAGCACACTAATATATACAGGCATATCAATTTACATCTGATATACATATATTTAAAAATTTCGGAGATTTAAAAAATTAAATCTCCTAATCTTCCCACAGAAGTTTGGTATTTCAACAATTTTTTTTTTTAAATTGAAACTTGATAATTATAAGAAATTATAAAATTAATATTTATAAATTATTTAAATGTTCAATTTTAATTTGAATTTATATAACACCAATATTTTTGAAAACTATGGGCATATAAGTGAGAAGAATATCGAGCACGAGTGACTGTGGACCAGAAATCGATCTATAAACTGCTTTCAAAATAACCACTTGCAGAAATATATCTATATTGGATTGTAATGAGAAATTTTTAGCAAGAATTAACGAATACGACGAGATAAACGGTGTAATAATTTGTGTGTTTTCTATACTTTTTAAGCCACCCTGTGTAGGGTGCTGTTCGCGCGGTGCTGAGTCAGCTCGTGGGTGTTAGTTAGGGTTATTATTTCTAGCCGCACGTCTCACGGCAGTCTGTCAGTTATCGCAAGTCAATGAGAGAGTACAAACAACACCGTTATCTTCGTAAACATTCATATAATACTCGATGTGAATGGATTAAATATTCGGAATTTACGCGGATGTAAACGTATGAACATAAGTGTTTAATGTAAATTATGTAACATCAATATCAACGTGATTTTAATATGACATGTTACATTTTGCAAAATATAAATTATTATTTAAAAGAAAAATTTTATTTTAAAAACTATATGTGTTTATAAACTATACATACACACAT